ATTCATCATCATCTGAGCAGCAGCAAGAGGACGTCATTGGCCTTGGGTGCGTCCAGGGGGGGTTACCCGCGCGGAGACCGGTCAGTCTTCTTGCGGTCGCCCTTCTTCGGTCCGGGACTTCTTAGGTAAGGCTGGGGTCGCGCGTAATGCGTGCGAGGGATGCACATGTGCTGTGCTGTAGGTACGACGTGCGCGTCATGCAACTGGGCTGACGACGTGGTGGGTGGCATGAAGCTGATCTGGAGGGAGCAGCAGGGTCGTGCTGCGGCGATGGAAGCTTGTCGCCCAGGGTCCGTGACGTGGTTCTCCTCTCGGTTGTCGGTTCGTATGCGATTTGGGCGACCTCGACGCACAGGCAGCATGAAAAAGTTGAGACCTCTTGGGCTGACGGATGTTCCAGACCACATGGCGAGAACCACGGGCAATGGCGCGGCGCGCCCTGGTACGGGTGACCTCCCCGTACCGTCCGGCAACAGTCCCCCGACGAGGGTCCTCCCGCTTGGCGGAGGCACAGTCAGTGGACAGGGGGGTGGCGGCGTCCGGGGTGGAAGGACAGTTGTGGTGAATCTCCGGTCCAAGGTGCAGAATGGACGGTGGAAATCGAGGCGGGATTCAGAGCATATGCATCTCGACCTTCACCGAAGGGCTGGCCAGCTCAGGAAGGTCAAGGGACGTGCATTGCCCGATGCGTGCTCATCTCCTGCCATGGCGGACGGCCGATGCTGGCAATCTTGAAATATTCTCCGACGTGCGTCTGTCACCTGAAGGCATGGCGGCCGTGTTGGATGCCAAGTGGCCAAATCCCCCCCCCCTTGCTCTGCCATGCCTCGCGTGAGGGTGGAAGAAGCGCTTCCGCCATCCAAGAGAGCATAGTGGCTCATGGCATGGCCAAGCGAGCACGCCAAACGGCAGAAGCGAGCACGATATGGCGTTCGCGTGGCGTGCGGCGACATGTTGACTTTTTTTGGGAGTTGCTTGCGGATGAAGACAGAAAGCATCATGGGTGGTGGTTTCGAAGTTTTCCCTAGATGGAGAGAGAGAGAGGCATATCTCCCAGCAAAGTTGCCCTCCGACCATCGGCGGCAGCAGGTCATCAAGGGGGCTGTCACATCCTCATTCACATCCATCACAATCCCGTCACATCACATCATGCGAGCGGGAAGGGGGCAAAGGCGCTACAGCTTGATGGCCACGGCCGCATCGAACAGCCTCCTGTCCTCCCGTCACCCCTGCTCATCATCGCCAACACGCCGCCTCGCCGTCGCGACGCTCCCTGGGCGGACGCATACCCTCTGATTCGCAACGACGCGAATCCCACCCCCCCGTCACAAAGTCAGTCGAGCAGTGTATGTGTGTGTGTATGTGCCTCAACCCCAACGCCTCGACACCATCCCGCTCCCCTCCATTCAAAAGTCCCATCGCGAACGCGCTTGACCGCTGTCTGCCCGCCAACTCCGGCCGCGCCGTGGCCCTTAGGCATGGCGGGAGGTGCTAAAGAGACAGAGACTTTCCTGCCCTGAAGCTCGCTGCCGCACCCTGCGGGCGCAGTCACAATCGAGAACTGTCCCCCGCAGAGACCGACGGCCAGAGGTGGCATCCCAGGATCGTGAAGGCCAAGTCCGGGCCGTCCCAGCGCGCCCGGTCCAGCAGCACGGAGGCGGCCGCCGAGGCCAGGCTCGCACGCCGTCTAGGTAGCCAGGAAGAAGAACAGACTGTGCTTTTCCTCTGCGTCTGCGTCTGTCTCTGCGCCATTCAGAATGATGTTGGCAGGCCATCCGATGTCGCCGCCCAGCAGCAGCAGCAGCAGGCGCACCGTCGCGGGGGAGGGCGAAGGGGTTGCAGGTCCAACAGGATCTGGACCTCTGGCGGGCTTGGGCGTTGTGGCGGGTGTGATGGCATGCAGATGAGGCTTGAAGAAGCTTTCATGCTGCTTGCCCTCTCTCTCTCTCTCTCTCTCTCTCTCTCTCTCAGCGTGTGCGTGTGAGTGTGTTTCCTACAACTCCGTTGTGTACTTCTGGCCTGTTGGTGAGCGAGTGAGGCAGGCCGGGGTTTGTAAAGCTGTACCCCAGTTGGATGAGCCGTTGATCGGTGATGATGAGGTGGAGGGTGGTGGTCCGGCGTAGAGGTTGCCTCAGAGAGGGAAGATGGTGCCATGCGGAGATGAGGAGATTGACAAGCCAGACTGTCTACGTCGTGTGGGTCTGTCGTTTGCTGAACGGAATGAATACGGCGGCAGTTTTATTTTCACGACCACGGTGAACGAGAAGGTCTTTTTCTTCTGACCGTCTGCTTGTTCTATCTGGTCGTCTTGACGGCCGATCCAGCATGAACCGCAAAGCCAGCCCATTGTCCAAGACGACGAAACGGGGTCCAAGGCAGTTCTCCCAAACGATAGACAGAAACCAGGAACCCGTCATAGATCGGCAACTGCAATATGTATTCATCTATCTTCATCTGCACCCCAGATCCGGCAGGACGACTTGGGACGAAAGACGTAGATGAAGCAACCCATTGAGCCGAGCGTCTCATGAAATACTACAATAAAATAAAATATTCATTCGTCCGTTGGAAAATGACTAAATATTTCTGAATATTTTAATATACTGCCCCCCCTGTCCCGAATCGAACAAAACCACCAGATAATCACAAGTCCCGCAGCTCAACCTTTCACACCAACTTCAAGCCCGCATGACACTTTCCCCAGACCCCAGACTTCACCACTGCCAAGCCCCAAGCGGCCGGTACTCGCCAGCGACCGACGCCGGCAGCCTAGGAGCCAGATGGGCTGCAATAAAGACGAAGGACAGAGGCGGGAAAGCTTGTAGATTCGCTTCATCGTAAGCGAGGCCGCCTCGATCGGCTTTGGCGGCCCAGGCTAAAGGCCCGGGTAAAGACGCGAACCGTCTGGAGAGATCCGTGGCGCACCGGCCGCGTCCCGCCTTGCCGCCGCGAAGAAGACGAGGTAAGGGCCATGTGAGCAGGGTCTCCCCCCTCCCTACTCTTCCTGTTCAGTACTTGGCGATTTCTAGCTCATGGTCTTCCCGCCCCTGGTCCGACTTTCTTACCTTGTGGGGGAGATTCAATAAGCAGGCAGACCAGGCGGATGCGTGAAGGAGGGCAGACTGTCCTGTTTGCTCATCTCCAGATGGGTAAAAGGCGAGTAGGTCCAGCTACCGGCACCCCAAGACAGATGACAGGTGGAGATGTCTCATCTCGCGCTCCTATCCTCACCGAGGAGGCGCATAGTCCATGGTTGTCTGCTGGATTCGTGGACAAACCGCGCACCAACGCCTCATCCCACGTCGCCGGTCCGCCTACCGGAGGCGGTGAACGCCATGTCATTGCTCGGCCGCCGTGCCCTGGAAATCCTGAATGCCCGGAACACCCTCCCCCTCCTCATCAAGGGAGAAACTTCTCACTTCTGCTTGTTCTACTGGGGACGCCAAACGGGAAGGGGGTGGAGAAACTTGGTCAACGCCGTCATCCTGCCCTGCTATTCATCGCCATATCGCCACCCTCATCTGCGCCCACCGGAAAGCCAAGACGCAAACAAGGGTCGGAAGGAGATCAAAGTCCAGAACTGGCTTCTGCATCCACTCCCCGCCCTCTCCCTCTCCCTCTCCGCAATCCCCACAAAGTCCCTGAAGCAAATACAAAGAGAAAACTGTCGACCGACGATCCGGGGAAAAGAGGGTCCATCAACCATCAGCCCTTGGGAGCCTGCGCAAGGGGGCGATGCTGGGGTTTGGAGGAGGCAGCAGAAATGCAGCTGGGCGGAGGTTCTTCCCAATTTGCGCGATTTCGAAATCCATGCGCGGCCGCCGAAACAGTGCCACGCCGAAGTTGCGACGCCCACGTGAGGAGCCATCAGCCATGCCACGCGCGGCGGCCGCCTTGCCAATCTCTCCCACTCGTCAGTGTCCGCCGAAATGAGACCTCCCCGGCCGAAGAACCGCCATTCGCTCGCACCTCCATCTCCTGCTAACCAACCAAACCACCCCAACTGATCCCTGGTCCAGTCACAAGCTCGATGGTGTTGGGTGGGCGAACCGCCTCCCTCGATGTCCCGCCTCAAGCGAATATGCGCCAACGGCACTCGCGATGGGCGAGTGCTGCAGCCCTCACTTGCCCCCAACCACGAGCACGCAAACCACGGTCAAAACACCCTGTCCGGGCTCTCCATCCTTCTACGTGATCCTTTGCGACGACTGTGCCGCGGGCGGGAGGCCTTCCCCGGGCGGGCAGGATCGACGACGCAGGCACCTCGATGTCTGCTGACTGCACAGGCCCCTGCTGCTGAAGCTCACCGGTCACCTTGCGCCGCCGCATGTTGGCGACAAAGGCCACGTCTGGAAATGGAGGAGGGGTTTTCCGTCTCGTGTTCTTTTTTCTGCCTCTTGGTACGGGGTCTTTATTTCGCGCAGACTTTCGGTCGCTCCCCGGAGCGTAGCGGCGTATGAGCTGTAAATGGAGACGGAGATGTTGCGAGTGCTCACGCGTGCTCCTGGGCCAGAGCAGTGGCGACACGACTGCACGAGG